GTCAGGAGTGCTTCATACAGTACCTGGATCTGCTGGAGTGCCTCAAGTCCTACTGAGATGTTTGAATAAAAGGACTGCTTCCCTCTCTGCAGCATCAAGAAATCAAAGCTTTTAATTTTAGCCAGAGTGTGCAGGATTTTTGTTTCATTTGGACAGATTGATGCTTTTTTGGCTTGGTCTCTGAGAGGAAACAACGCTCAAGACCTTAAGGCTTCATTACAGCAAGAAACCAATGGGCATGCACACACCAACCCTATGCAGTCAGTGGCACTAAGGTGTTTTCTGGAGCAGGTGCTAAGCACAGCTCACACTCCTTGAATCCCTCTCTTATATCAGTCTCCCTTTGAAGTTTAATTTGTGTACTGAATCATATCAGATTTCTGTCTCTTCTGAGCAATCTGCAACACCAACCACATTATTCAAAATAATGAAGGAAACCTACAACAACAACTATTTCGTTGAGGGAAGTTTTGGTTATCTGCCAATAACAATCTGAGGAAATTTCACCCTGTTGGAAACAGATTCAAATGAAGAAAGATTCCTGTGGTATCTTTTTATTTAAATGCATCTGAAGATCTACATGATGCCTCAGATAGAAGGTCTACCTGGATTAAGTTGGTTTCTTGCTCCTACCACATTCCAGGACTTTTTAATCTTCATGAGCCAAAAAGGAAGAACAATCTTTTCCTACAGAAGCAACGTCACGACTGTTTGGAACACAGTGTGTTTTTTCTTTTGTGCTAATTTATGTCCAGCACTCATCTAACAAGTCATTTCAGTGTTTTAGTATTCTGGTTTGAGTTTATGGTGTCGGGAATGGAGGAAAATGTGCTATGCCTTTATATACACATATCTAACTTTTATCCATTTTTTTAATGCTCTCTAGGATTCAAAAAAACTTGGAAATTTCTCTATGTAAAGAGTTGTTTAAACTTTTAAGGAGAAAATAGAGAAAACATTTGAAACTAATATTATTGAGAATTTTAGCATTGTCATGAGAATGCAATGGGTAACAGGAAGTTTTCTTTCTGTTGGTTTAAAAAAAGTAGTGTGCATGCTGTTAGAGGTCGTGAATATTGTATCATTAACAATGATGGTACAGTGTAGCTCTCAATCAATTTAAATAACCTTTTAGTATCATCTTAAGTTTACCTGAAAGAGCTTTTATAGAAATCTCTCTCTTGATAATGTAAAATTGTTAATGCATAATGCTGAATTTTAATTTCCATTCTCAGATGAGGACAGCATTTTGTTCATTCTACTAGATGATTTTTATAAACTTATTCTGGGTTTTTGTGAATCTTTAAGGCCATCGGCTGCTAGAACATTTTAAATCTGAACAAACCTGAGTGAACAGGTCACATTAGTGTGGAATTGATTAAATTCCAGCTGTTGATAATCAGTCAGGTTTGACCTATAATGCTGGATTACAGCAGGATATGATGTTCAACTCTTACAGTAATAACATCCTCTTTTAAGCATGCATTTCCAGAGTGCATGGTTTCCATTACTGGAAACAAAATACTCTTTCCACTTTCAAATTCAGTTCTTTATTCATACAAGAAAATGGTCAGAATTTTGATTAAGTCACATTTCTAGGATTTTTTGTGAATTTTTTTCACTATTATATAATTATACCAAAATGTTTACTTACAGTTTTAACATTCCTTTTGAGAGACGCTTTTTTAAATGAAACAGATATGGCTTAAAAGCAACCAAATAAACATTTTTTTTTAAATTAAGGCAGTTTCTTTTTTTTTCTCAGAACTAAATGGCTGAAGGAAAACATTGCTTTGAGTTTAATTTGCCTTTTTTTCGGGGTAAGTCTTAGGTCAGGATCAAGATTTAAAGTAATAAAATGCCAGCTTAGAATATGTGATTAAAATTGGCTTTAATGGTTGCTTTTCTAGGTCTTGTGTCAGCAAGGTTACTCTTTTATCTTCAGATGGGATTTATTTGCTAAGCCAAGGCTTATTTTTCTTCTGTTGTTGTCTCATCAGATCTGGAGAGAGACCATTCATCAACTTGGTCGGTATTTAATCTTAGTGGAAGTTTAGATGTTCAAGTGCCATTCTGCATCCTTGATCCAGGCCAAAACCGATCACAGGCACTCATGCGAAGAAGCCAGGAGCAGGACAGCTGATAGGCTTGGTGACTGTGTTTTGGTGATATGTTGTCATTAACTGACACTAATCTAATTTTTACCAGACCTGCCCCTTTTCCCTTTCTGAATGTGCCTCTACAAACCTGATCAGTATTTCAGACTGAGACATGTAAGGAGAGTACACACAGTACTTCACAGTCCTGTGAAGTTGCCATACTTTTTTTTTCCTTCCGTTTTTTATTTGCATGGAAATATTCTAGGAGTGGTGCTGGGTGTAAGTTCTTTAAGCATTGGCAGACTTGCAGAGTTCCTGATATAATACACATTTTTAGGAGTAGGTATATCATTGTTGTAATCACTCCACAATGTGACTACAAGCAGTGAAGCTCTGGAAAAGCCAGGGCATTTTCTATATGCTTCCTTTATTTCCTCTTGAACTTTTTAAACCACTTGTCTTGGTTAAATCTGTATCAGTCAACACACAGAGTATTATCAGCACTTGCTAACATACATGTCAAGATGAGAATTCCAAACATCTCAAGACACAGGGGAAGAAAGACAATATATTAATGTTGCCTGCCAATGCAAACCTGGTTTGAACAGGTAAATGCCCCTTGAGAGATTCAGCTGACCAAAAATTAGAACATGAGGCACTTGGGTTTTTTTTAAGGAGTTTCAGAACTATTATGCTTTCCTAGAAGGATACTGATCTTTGCACTGAGTGGCCATACCAGATGACATGTAATGTCTGTATGACCAATATCTCCACTCTGAAAGTTGGCAGTGAAGTAGCAGAGGTTACTCAAAGAATATCAGAAACTCAGTAAGAGCAAATCTTACCCCAATACTTTGTCCCCAAAGTATTCACCTGTTTCTCACAATGGCTAATATCAGACTTTCCATCAGCAATTTGAGGGCATTACTCCACCTGTGCCGTCATAGAGCATAGGTTTGGGTTTTGCCATGGCTCTGTCAACAGAATGGCTGCCATTTACTGAATTTGCTGCCATTTAATGCTGTTTAGTGTGCTCAGTATGGTTGTCTAGTAAGTAATCTTTCCTATGGAGATAATGTCTGTTTGCTGAGGTACTTAATTTAGTATCTCAGGAGGTGAAGCTGGTGCTTTTCAGGCTATGTTAAATAGCAGGGTAAATTTCAACACTAACAGAAAAGTTGGGTTATTTTCCTTCTGGTTCTCTCTGCACTGACCTAAGTCAGCAACATTCAGCAAAGCAGAAGCTTCTGAAGTAGGTTGCAAGGTGGTATACCTGCTGCAGGGGTGCCTTGGTGTGTGTGTGTGTGTGGAACACGGGCTTGCCCTGGAGAGTAGTTGTACATACTACATTAAATGAAAGCACAACAAACAGTTTTCAGGTTTTTTTTCTTCTGAGATGTGAGGTATATCATGAGCACATACTCTATGAAGTCCCTGAGTTCCTCCTATTTTTCCATGAGAAGGTTTTACTTTCTAGTGTGAATTCAGTATACAGATATTCAGAAGCGGATGTCTGAAATAGATGTGTGAGGATGGAGGCTGCATGTAGCCATGGGATTGTCGTGCAGAGCTGGTTAGGGACAAGTATTTCCAGGTATCTGCATTATTCACCGTTTGCATCTGCCTCTTGATGGTCCCTGTTGGTGTGACAGCTATTGAATTGTTTCTGGCTGGCAGCTGAATGGGCCAGGCATGCCAAAAGATGCTCTTCCCTGCTTGTGGTTGAGAGCTTGTATGCACTTGTGGTTTGGAGTCTAATAAACTTTGCAAAGTATTAGCTTCAGGGTTATGACATTTGTGAGGTATGAGCAGAGATAAACCACTTGGGTGTATTTGATGTGGAGGCTCTGGCAGCAGTTACTTGACAAGCTGCTGACTGCAGTCTTCCCCATCAAAGTGAGAATCTTCTGCCAGCAGATGATTCTCAGTTGAGGTGGTTGAGGGGGAAATTCCAGTGCAGCTTCACTTGAATATTGTGTGTACCTCAGTATTGGTTCACTTTTATTGACAGCTCCATCCATGTAATGATTTAATTTCCAGATGGCCTTTAGAATAAATCTGTATTTAGCTTTTTATGTAAAGGTAATTTTTATTGATGTTCTGGTTTTTATGACTGTGGACTATACCAAGAGACTTACAGTAAGTCTTCCTGTCTTGTAAGATCCATTTCTTCTCTAGTGTTTGTGAGCCCTCTGTGTGATGCACAATGAGCACCTAAAGAAGCCAGATGAAATTTTTGGCCTTAGGAACCTTGAGCTGATGGAGCACTTTGAGCAGTTTCAGACACTGTATGAGCTACCAGTTACAAAAGTCTCTCCTGTGCTATTTGATACCCACAAACTCTGGGGTGGCTTCCTTCCATTACTTGTAAAGTATGTCAAGTAGCAAATTTGTCTGGAAATAATCTTAACATGAGGGAGCAGGTGGCTGGGATTATTATCAACCAAAGGAGTCCCAGTGTAAAGGGTATTTGCATTTTCTCTGACGTGACTTTGATATTCCTTATCTACAAGCACAATTACGTGGTTAGAATGCATCACAAATGTACCAGGGTGCTGCAAAAACAACTTAGTTGAGTGATATAACTTTTTCAGGTTGGGTACTGTACCCTTAACACACCCAGGCAGTCAGTCAGCTGCACAACAGACCTGTTCTGAAATGTAGGAGAGGGCATTTAACACAGTCCTCTTGAAGATGTCTTAATGTTCTTGAACATATTGCCAGGTGAAGTAGCTAGCTGAGAATCTGGCCTCTTATTTTAATGGGAATGAAACTGCAGAGAATAACCTTCTCCCTATATACTAAAGAGAAATGTTTATTTGCATCAATTTTATTATTGCTGTGCTTTTAAAAAGTTCAAAAAAAGCCTCCTGACAAGATCTATGTATATTCTATTACCAGCTCTTCCATGTTGCCTATATCCTTATCAAGTTTGCAAATTCTCCTCGTCCAGATCTCTGGGTGTTGGAAAGATCAGTGGACTTTGGAAAAACTTACACTCCCTGGCAATATTTTGCTTGTAAGTATCAATCCTCGTGTCACTGGTCTTTTGGGGACAGGTTTATTTAATCATTTCCTCAGTAGCAGCAAAATCAAACCATGGGGCTTGCTGAAGATTTCACTTGCAGAGAAGGCAGTGAATGCTAAATATGTTTGTCTTTTCTTATTTAGCCACAATAAATGAGTGGTAGAAGTGTACAAGTATGGTATTTTGAAAGCGTAACTCAGCATATGAATATTTTTCACTTTCTTAGAAATTTCTGTTTTGTTTTGTTTCTCTTGTTTCTTGGATATGTCAGAACTTCAATCAGTCCCTCATCCCTTGAGACCCTGGAGTTTCTTCCAAAAATCAAAACAAAATACAAATGCAAAATCTTAGAGTATCTATATAGCTTTTTTTTTTTTTTCTGGTGATGACATGAGGAATACTGTACCATGTCTTGTCAGGCACCACTGAATTGCTTAGGAAGAGAGATTATTTTTTTGAGGAATGTCTGTTACTGTTTACTGAGTGACACAATCACTGTTATTACTCTATTATGGGGAATATTTACCTGAAAGCACAGGGAATACCTCTCTGTTAATTTAAATTAGAACGATAGGGCGTACTTAATATAAAATTAATTTTGTTCTTGCTTGACTAGACTCGAAAGCAGATTGCTTGGAGCGCTTTGGAAAGGAAGCAAATCTTCCTGTGAGGGGCGACAGCGATGTCCTGTGCACCACCGAGTACTCTCGCATTCTGCCTCTTGAAAATGGAGAGGTGGGTGCCTTCAGGAAAGCCATGTGTCATGCTGGAAGCAAACACCATTGGTTTCAGAAGTTTGTTGGAAGTAATTTTTTAGCTATGATGGCTTGAATCTCCCTCATAATCTAAAATTCAGTGAGATTTTGGGACCGTGACCTGACTCGTCCTAATTTTCACCATTCCCTATGGGGGTAGGGGCTGCTCAGGGAAACCTGTGTTGATATTTATCATAATTTCTGTACCTCACTATAGCCATGGCCATTTGAAGGTGTTGACTGCATTTTCTGAACACTTCCAATGTGCATGGCAAAACTTGGTCCAGCAAAAATGCTCATGTGAGTAAAGGCTGTAGAAAGAAATATTTACCATTCAAGAATAAGTAGCTGTAAAAACAAAAATATATATATATATAAGACAGCTACATATTTATAATATAATAAAAGTATTTGGAAAAAGTTGCCTTGATTTTAGCCATTGTTCCTTGCTAGTCAGAACTGTGGCTTGTATTACTTGTATGGATGTTAAACTCCTGGATGTGGTGATTGCTCCTCCTGGCATTCTGCTCTTGTGCCTGATGTTGTTAGAATCCAGATCTGAACTCCTCAAGAGTTTTCCAGAGTTTTGAGCAGATGGATCTAGGGTTTCATATTAAAATAGCATTTATTTGTTAAAGCACCTATTTTTCCTAATCAGATTATTATTGTAAATAATAATTTCCACAGAAGAACAATGCTCGTGCCACTCTCTATTACATGCTCTGTGACTTTTCCTGAAGAAATTGTGCTGCAGTTGGAACAATCATCAAGCCCTTGTTACGTGCTTCAGCGTATAGGAGCCATTTGAAAATAGAAATCTGTTATCTGAATGGTTATAAATAAATTAAAGTCTTTTACTGAGCCCTGTACATACAAACTAGGTTGTTCATTCAATAGAGATTCATGATTGCTGAGCTGCTGGCAGCTGTTTCTTTAAAAAATAAAATAGTGTTGGATCCCTTGTTTTGGAAGTCAGACAAACCTGCTTTCATGTGGGGGGATTTTCTAAAGCAACACTGTGTACTTTCTTCCAGAAGACCATTAATACGCTCGCAGGCACTGGACCTGCTAACAATAATATTTTCCAGGAATGTTTATGCCTTGACCCAAAAATAAATGTGCTTTGGGAAAGAGCCAAAATCTGATGTTTTTAATCAAGCTAAACTTCCATTGACACTGTCAACTGTTCAAACAACTATTTGCAACAATTCCTATTGTTTTTTCCAATTAAAATGTACTTTTTGCATGCTATACCTACCATTTTCAAAACAGATAGAGGGCACGGTTTTTTTCTATTTTTTTCTCATGTGTTATATGGATAATGAGAATACAGGAGGCTCCAAAACTAGCAACCCTTTTTTTCCCAACATCCTGATTTCAGTATGAAATGCCTAATTGTTACTGCAAATATGTTCAAAAACAATGGTAAGTTTTTTGCTTCTTTTATTAATTCTGCTCTATGCTGCTATTGGCACTTGCAGTTGATAAATTTTAACAAGTGTGCTTACTTCTTTGTTAGATTGTAGTATCTTTGGTAAATGGCCGCCCGGGAGCAAAAAACTTCACTTACTCACCTGGTCTTCAAGACTTCACAAAGGTGACAAACATCCGCCTCCGTTTCCTCAGAACTAATACTCTTCTTGGACACTTGATATCCAAAGCTCAGCGGGACCCCACTGTAACTCGTAGAGTAAGTACTGTTGTCACTGAGGTGTAAATACTCAACAATCATACCCAGCTTGTTAAGGACCAAACAATGGTCTGAATGCTTTAAGTTTGCAACATACTGACAATGCAATTTGCATTGGCCCACCTTGAAATCCACATATTTTTCTCCAGGTTTGTGTGAGGCAAGAAGGTAACTGGGCCAGCATGGATTTATGGAGGGGCAGTAATCATAAATGATTTTGTAACAGACCATTTTCATTCCCTGGTTTCTAATATAGAAGGAGGCTGAGTGCATCATGGGAGCTATAAAGAGCCAAAGCAAAATTATTCTAAACTATCTTATGCAGAACTGAGGAACTAAATCTCTTCGACTTTATTTGTCACTACTTTCTGATATTTATTCACAAAAGGTTTTCAGAAAATAGTACCTCTGAAGGAACAGAAATCAAAGGCTGTACTTGAAAGTTACCATCTTTACACAAATCATTTAAGATGCCTAAGTGTTTTCAGTGTATTTTGGGCTATCCAAGAGCTTGAAGGCCAAAGTTCCACTCCCATTCAGTGGGAAAGGGATATAAGGAAATACAGGGAACACCACACAGAAATTCATATACTTACAGAGATTTCAGACTTCATATTGTATTGCTATTTTTAACCTTTTCATTTAAAATGAAGATTCGGTAACAATTGGAGGAAACCCTGGGGTGAGGCACCACGCAAATGTGTGTGAGGGTTTCTGCACTGAAAAACATAAAGCTATTCCAGTTATTTGACAGCACTCCCATCAAGTACCCTTACTGCCTTAAGGAAATTTTAAAACATTGTTCACAGGCAGATGTAAATGCAGTATGCAATTTACTTGGCATGCATCACAGCTGTAGTGTGAGGAGCTTCTGGTGTTATCCTGGCCATGGGGTGTAGGAGAGATGAATGAAATCTCTAGTGTTTTATTAAATTCCAAAAGGAGAGTGCAAATTTTTTATTGTAGACACCTTCCAAGTCTAGCAGACCTGATGTTGATATTTCTGACACAATGCAAGTGAGGGAAGACCTATACATGCTTCTTGTGCTTGTTCCACAGTATTACTACAGCATAAAGGACATCAGTATTGGGGGTCGATGTGTTTGCCATGGCCATGCTGATGAATGTAATCCAAAGAGTGCTGAAAACCAACACCAGTAAGTAAATTTATCTGAGAAAAACAATACAGGAGTGCTTTCAAATGACCTTTACTTATTACAGAATTATGTAGTTGTGCAGAGATTTTTTTTTCTTTATACTTAAAAAAAATACAACCTGCTAATGGTTGGCAAGAAAACATGTCAAGAGTGATTGTATGTGAAATATAATAATAGAAAATCTTTAGTTAGCTTTTAATTTTAATTGAAGTACAAGTTTGGCAGATTGAGTAATTTCTTAGAAACCCATAGTTCTTTGTGGAAAACATGACTTAATATCACCTTCTTACATCAGGAATTACAAGTCCAACTCAGGAAGAAAATCAGTCAACTTCATGGAAATATTGCACACTATAACTGAGCTCATGCAAGATCCAGTGGTTTTAAATCATTACTGTAAAAACATAAAAACAAACTGAATGGACTATTTCCTTTCCCTGTCTAGCTTGTGACCTCTACATTGATTTCACAGGGAGTTAGATCAGGCTTCTTGGCTGGCCTGCTACAGGGAAATAACTGTGAATAATCAGCCTGTCTCAAACATATTTAAAAACCTGCTTTAAACCAGTTGTTGCTCTTATCCATGACAGCATTAAAACAAACTTTTAGCAGGATGATGCAATATTTTCAGTTGTGTTTTAATGAAGAGTAAGTGGGGGAGATGGGTGCCTCCATTCCACGTGTCTGTGCTAGAGAAAAATAAGTAAAGAAGATGAGAAATCTATGCAAATAGCATAATTATACTGGAAAGTTTTATTGCCCCTGTGTTATTAGACTACATACATAAGAGAAGAATGTTGTAAGAGGCATCCTGAGTCCCAAGGCCTTTGTTGCTCCTGGGATTCAGTTACTATGTAGGATGGTAAGACCTAGCTCATAATTAGAGCCTGCCTGTTAAGTAGACTGTTCAGCTAAATAAATCAAAAACCTTCTTACATTTTGTTGGCGAATAGTGTGCATTATCTTAAAAATAACAGGATCAAGTTTTGATCTTGGTTTATTAAGAACACTGATAGTATTATTGTAAACAAAGCATAATGGAAAAATTATGAAGGCAGGCATTTGAAGGTGATTAATATTTTGATTACTGTAGACCAACAAACTTGAGCCTTGGAACAAAGTTAAAACAATTCTAAATGATTGTGTATCAGCTTGATTTAATAATCTTCAATGGTTTCATAATCCAGTCTATTGAATCCAGTTATAAACATTTTCTGTAAGTAATGTGTTCTAGTAAACTCATAATCACATGATTAAAGTAATCAATCTTGAAGAATTTAGGAAAGTTCCAAAATGTTCTAGCATTACTGATTGACTTCTCTACATGTGAGGTTTATGTTCTGTCCTTTTCATACTATATATGTGTCTTGGACTGCAGTAAAATGAAGAAAAAAACAATTATTTTTTATTTAAAAACTAAAGAAATAAATTTTAAGCCCAGCTTCATTAAGAGGCTTTCATTTCTGTAGATTTCAGTGTGAATGTCAGCATAACACTTGTGGGGAAACCTGTGATCAGTGCTGCCCTGGATATAATCAGAAACAGTGGCAACCTGCAACAGCTGGGAGCACCAACATATGTGAACGTGAGTAACCAAAGAGATGGTGAGTTAAAAGAGATACTGACAAGATGGTGGGAATTAGCTGTCGCATACCTGTTCATGGAACATAACCAGCATGTTTTAACACTTATTTTTTTTGTATGGGGAAAATGTTTTCCATACAGAAATAAAGAATCAAAAATGCAGTGAATATTATTTATATTCTTTCTTATTAAACAGTGAAAGTAATAATTTGTGTGAGAACATGACATGAGAAAAGTGGAAAACTTTTTGTAGACCATTGAGTCATCTCTCCCCAGTCATAGCTGTCTGCTACAGACTGTGGATCTCCAAGCAGAGCATAGACCGTAGGCATCTTGTACAACTCCAAAATGTTCCTTTCCATCAGCTGGCCTCTTGGTGCTCAGATTGCAGAGAGGTTGCCCGAGGCTGCCACTGCTCACAGGTGCTTGAGCTGCCCTCCCTTCTCAGGCTGAGGGCTGCCCCTCACTGACCGTGTGGTTCTGGTGGGCAATCCTGGTGATTCCACACTTGTATTCCACTCTTCCCGTCCTTGTATTTGTGCGTTTGGAGGACGTTAGCCCTACAGACTGGAGAAGCTCTTTCATTTCCCTTTCCTCACACTTTCCCTGTGTTTCTTTCTTAAAGAAAGCCACAGCATGGACCCTCCTTTGGTGGTGGGTTTGTACTGTCACACCTGGCTGTTTTCCACTCCCCTGGGTAGAAACCAGGTGGAGTGGTACACAGCACTGCAATCTCTGTGCACAGCCATTGCCTTTGTGTCTGGCCCAATCTATTTTTCTCATCTGCCTTTCCTGAGACTAGCATAGCCAGTGGGTACAAACTCTTAACAGGAGAACCTTATTTGAAAGCCAAAGAGATGTGCCTATATAATTACTCTGTGGAATAAAGAGATGACTTGTTTAATTAAAACTGCAGTACTAAGACTTGGGAGGAGGAAAGGAGATTGTGAGTGATTAAAATGTTTGATAGGATGTAGGCATGCTGGGACACAGTTTTTGAATAATATTTGAAACCTCATTTAAGGCCCCCTCTTTAGAAGGAAAACATTTTTTGCCAGAAGAGAGACAGACAAAGAGCATAAATAATGTCATGTTTTTCAAAGAATGAGTGAAGATTGTCTACAAGGTTGTGAGCCAAAACCACTTCGTTTCTAACTACCTCTGAAAAAATATCCTTTTTAGTATGGATTGCTCCTAGCAGTTTGAGGTGATTTGTTGAGAGCATTTGCCAGGTGCAGGCCTCTTTAGCTGGCAGCCAGTAGTGAAGGAATTAAAACAACTTTATTCAGCTTTCCAGAAGCCTGAGGTTCCTTGAGAGAAACGTATTGAAAGAGGTTGGTGGAAGCTTGTAAGTATCAGCCCAGCATGCTGCTGTGGGCTTCCCAGTATGTATGGATCAGCAAACTGCCCAAAGTAGTGAAAAAGAGCTTGATGAGGTAGAAGGGGTTTCTATTCCCCTATGAGTAAAAGTGCTGTTACTGCAATCAGAGCAAATAATTTCCCACTGCTGTTAGAAGACATAGCTGAGCTGTAGCTCACAGATGGTTTGGCCCTAGAGGCAAGGGAGGTAATTATACATATATATATATATATATATATATATATATATATGTGTGTGTGTGTGTGTGTGTGCGTGTTTTTTCCTTTTCTGACTTATTATAGCCAGTTTGCTGATACATCTATATCTACAGCTGAATATGAGACTTCTTTGGTGTAGGTCTTTTTATATACATTTAAATATACACATTTAAATGTGTATATCTTATCTGTAATTGTTAATTTTAAATAAAGGTTTAGTGCACATAGCATAAGTCCAGATGTATTTTTGAGACATGAAAAAGTAAACATTTGTACATATTCTTGATAATTTGAAAAAAACTGCTGTGGCCGTTCTTCTGGAGCTTCCTAGTTCTACATTTATGCATAACTATATAGTTTTGAGATGGTATAATTGTTGCCTTCTCTGGTAGGACTAAGTGCACATTTTCTTCATGTCTACCTTACTGTACTATGATTCTTGTATGAAAATTCAGTTGTTTATAGTTAAATATGTGCATTTGAGTATACTCCAGCATGCCTGAATGTATACACTCAAAAAATTCTGATTTCCTTTTACACCTCTGCTGGAAGTAGGCGCTGGAAATTGCTGAATTCCAGCATTATAAAGAAGGATGACTTGGATTATTACTTTTTCAGCCTGCAATTGCCATGGACATGCCACTGACTGCTACTATGATGCTGATGTTGATCAGCGTCGAGAAAGCTTAAACATCCATGGGCATTATGAAGGTGGAGGAGTCTGCATTAACTGCCAGGTAAAAAGGTCATTTTCATCAGTTTTAAAAAATGTTCACACCGGTAGTTTTGGGTCTGACCAATCCTGATAGGCCCCTTTCTCTGATGGTGTTACTACTTGTACTCAAAGTGTGGAAAAAGGTGCGTGAAAATAATTTACCATGTTCAACATTGCTTGGTAATGTGTGAAAGACACATAAAAATTGTATTTATGCTCAATCCTGTGTGATCAAAATAAAACCACTCAATCAAAACAAACAATTTAATCAGCTATAAAAATTCCCTTTCCTGTTGTTATAAACTCTGCAATTTCCCTTCTTAACAGAAGGAAGTAAAATTAATCAAATAAAATGCCAGCTCAGGCCAGCTGGTTCCTTACTGCGGCAAAACACAGAGAGCTCTATCTCATCAGCACAAATAAAGGAGGATCTAGACTATACCAAAATGGAAAGTTATAGATATTGGGAAAGCACAGATCCATAGAAGAGCCCTCTGGAATCCTCTTGAACTAGTGCTCCACTCAAACCAAGGCTAGATGCAAAATTCTATTGGGTTGCACCTGGAAACACCCAGCTGAATTCTGCACATTTCTGAGGATGCACTTTACACACACTCTGGGTAATCTTTAACAGCACTTAATCACGCTCCTGTTCAGTAGGAATTTCCCCAATTGCAGCTTGTGGTAGTTGGCTTTTGGGCTTGTTCTGTGCTTATATGAGAACAGTTGGTTCTGTCTTTTGTGTAGAGGAAAGATGCCTTAGGTGGAGGAAAATGGCCATTAGCACCTTCCCCCTCCGCACCAACCAGTCATTCCCACAGTTCCCCCTGAAAAGTGAGGGGATGAGCTCCAGAACTATCTTAGAGGCTCCTTTGGATTGAATCAGAAGTTGTTAATTTGAAATCAGAGACTTTACACTGTGTCTGTCATAAATGGATAGCACATTCTTGGAAAGAACAAGAATTTCTTTCATTCTGATTTTGTTCTGTTCTGGCAATGACTATGAGGAACAATCAAATAAGACTCTGATAAAGATCTAATCTTGGCCTTATCTCTGCTTGTAGCAGGACTGAACTACTTGACCTCCTGAGGTCCCTTACAACCTGAGTCATTCCTTGGTTAAGTGATCTCGTGGCTAGAGAAATCCAGAGTTACTTGGAAGTCTGTCTTCCTTTTGTTATCAAGTCATCTGATGTATGACAAGCAGCTGACCAGAATTTTGCATTAGAAGAAAATTATCATCAATTCTATGTTCCTGTGAAAACTATGCATCATGATTTTTGTATGACCATGTTGTGCATTTTAAAAATATAGCTGTATTTAAGCAATAAAAAAGGCAAATATCCAGTATAGAGTATGTTTTCCATATCCTTGCCACAAGATAATCAGATATTGTCCAAAAGGCGGTCAGAAGAGAGTAGTGTTATTTTTACTAACATGAGTAGAAGAAGTGTTCTTTGTCTTCCAATTGACATTTCTGTGCAGAACTTTGTTCATGCAGTCTAGTAAGATTTACCATGTCGGTCCTTTCTGTCAGCTCTTTGTTAATGAAAGAGCATTTCTTTTAATAGTTCTTCAAAGATAGAAAATAGCAACATCAGTCTAAATCTAAAAATCCTAGTTATATGACTGATAGAAATTGTTTGTAATTAATTTTGTGGAAGTCGAGTTAGATTAAGTGAGTTTATTATAAATCCAAGTATAGCTTTCTTTTTTGTTTGTTTGGTTGGTTGTTTTGTTTTGTTTTGTTTTGTTTTGTTTTCATTGACAAAGTGCATGAATTTTAGTTTTAGGAATGGATGCCTGAATGAAGAAGTGATAGAACTGAAGTGTTGCATACAAAGATAGAATCAGTTTCTTTAGAGTATGATGACAAAGGAGCTCTGGAAATCGTGCAATCCTACTCAGAGTAGGTCTAAATAGATCAGGTTGCTCAGGAACTCATTCCTCCAAGCTTTGAACATCTCCAAAGATTGGAATGCCACAACCACTCATGGCAACCTGTTTCAGTTTGACTGCCTGCATGACAATTTTTGTCCCTAATAGCTAATTGAAATTTTCCATGTTCCAATCTGTGCCTGTTGCATCTCATCCTTCTGCTGTGTACCTCTGATAGGAGTCTGGCTCCATCCCCTCTGTATTCTCCAATCCAGTAGTTGTAGGTAGCAGTAAATTCAGCATTCTCAGTGCTGAAGAAACCCAACCATCTCAGCCTCTTCTTGGATGTCATGTGCTTCAGTCCCTCACCATCTGCGTGGGTCTGCCCACAGCACCTATCATTGAATTACAGAGATCCATGAGGTTGATTTGGGAATATTTTGCCCTGGGTAAACTATGCTGGGTATGTCCCATCACCTTCCTGTCCTTTGTGTGTTCTGAATGTTTGTGTGTTCACTGGATCTCCTTCCCCACTGGGCAATGGGTCCCTACCCCCACTTTCTTTTGCTGCTCCTCTACTCCTGGAATCTTTCTTTTTGCACTTCACCTTCCTTGCTAGTTTTAACTCTGCTGAGCTTTGGCTTTCCTAGCTCCACTATTGCGTATTTGGGCAATGTCTTTGTATTGCCACCAAGTAGCCTGTCCCTGCTTCCACCTTCCATTCAGTTTCTTTCTGAGTTTGAGATCAATCAGGAACTCTGTGTTTGTCTGTGCTGGCCTTCTGCCATGCTTGCATGTTGGAAAAAACCGTTCTGGTTCGTAAGGAGGCTGTCCATGAGAATCAGCTGTCTCTCTTGGTCCTCTTTCCCCCACCCAGGACACTTTGACACAGGATCTTGTTAAGCAGTTCTCTGAGCAAGGACAAACCTGCTTTTCAAAAACCCAGAACTGTAATTCTGCTATTTGTCTTGTTTGCTTGTCTTTCATACATTCAAAATAACTTCTGGATTGCATAACTTCTGCATTGTCCTTCTGGCATCTTCTCAAAGCTCTCTCTGGGCTGGGGCCGCTGATGTGCCACTGGAGTGAGCAGTGATGAAGAAGATGCAGAGTCCTGAGTGCCCTGCTCATAAACTGCTCAGCAGCCCATACAGGAAATGCTGTGTCCCTGCTCAGCCCTGAATTGCAACACTCCCTAAGGAGGAACTAAACAGGGAGTGGGAGCTGGGGAAAATGTTTTGGTTGCTCCAGGGCAGAGCTTCCTGCTCTGGCTCCCTGGCTCTCGTGTCTGTGAGCTCAGCAGGGTGCCTCATGACCATGATTTATTCAACTTGTACTTGCCATCACTGCTGTAGTTCAAATTACTTAGGATTTTTTTTCCTGATGTGCCTAAACCACATGTTTATGGAGACGTATATACTCTTCTAGTGGAAAATCTATTTTGTGCTGTCTGGACTGTTCAGTTTTTGGTTTCTTCTGGTAATGCTGATCTTAAACACAAGGTATTCAGAAAATTAATACATAATATATGAAAAAATTAATGATGCAGTTTCTTGAACAATATATGCATGGTGGTAAGAAAGTAGCCTAAAAAGAGATATTTTATGATATAAAGAGATATTTTTCCAAAGATTTTTTTTAATGGGAGAAGTTTATAGCATTTTAGAGAAAAAATTCAGCTGCTTTATTTGAGAAAACTGTAATTCAGAACCCTGTAGAGAACAGGTGGTTAAAGAACAACACATGATGATTGATTATTTATTGCAGTCATATTCCATCTTTTCCACTTCTTAGCTGTATATAGAAACAGTGTAAAAGATGTTATTGCTTGTTAATTCTTCCAAGTTCCTCTCTTTATCTTATATTATCCTTTTGTCTTACTTTGCACAGCATAACACGGCTGGGATTAACTGTGAGAAGTGTGCAAAAGGTTACTATCGTCCTTATGGTGTTCCAGTGAGCGCTCCGGATGGTTGTATACGTGAGTCCTTCTCTATGGACTGTCTTCTTCTGGTGGCTTGAGGGGTCTGGGCTGTAATCAAGGCATAAGATGCATCTTCTGGGGAAGAAGAAATGAAAGGGTGGGCAAAAGATGTTGGAGAAGAGCTACAAATTAATTTCCGTGTTGCTTTAAACCTTTTAAATTATATTCTTCTCAATTTACGTGTCATATGAGCATATTCAGAACAGCAGAAAGATAGATAATAGACCATAAAAGGGTACGGAGGAGATAGGATCATGGAAACCTGGGATGCTGCTACACACCCCACAGTGGGGAGGATCTCAGGACCCCTAGGAAGCCATTCACATCTCTTGTTCTCAGGATCCTGTTTCTCTTAGCTCTCTGATGTACATGTGAGCCATCCTTTGATCCTTGGTCACTTGAAAATTTTGTTATGTAGCTCAAGAGGTCCCAAGGATCACTGCTCTGATCTTACACAGTGCTGAGCCCATCGACTCATAAGGGATGCAATAGGGTAATTACTCATAGAACGTTTGAAAAAGAACTGAATATAGGTAAGAGGAAAGTGTGGCATTGCAAACAGGTTGAAGGAGCCATGTGACAGGTGGGAGGAAACTACAGTTATGTTGTGTTTGGGGTTTGAAAGGAGTGGGAAGTCAGCAGTGCTGTGGTCATCGTGTTGCATCTAGTGTGTAAATGAAAGTGAGTAGTGTGGTGCTTAGCCTAGACCATGAAGAGAGATGAGTGGTTCCCCCAGAAAAATTGCTGCAGTGCTGTGGAGGAGCAATGTGCAGCGTTTGGAATTAAAAACTTCTAAATGCTCTAAACAAATAACATGGGCTTTACTTTTAAGGGATATATTTTAAGGATGATATGTAAATACTTGGAGTTGTTAACTCTTTAAATAATGAGTCATTCACATCTGCAGGTTTGTTGTTACAATGCCATTGTGCACTGCTCTGAAAGGCAAATTGATTATTTTCCAAAGAGTGCCTAATTGCTGGTACTTTTACTTAGCCTGCAGTTGTAACTTGGAGCACGCAGATGGCTGCGAGGAAGGATCTGGCCGCTGCTTCTGTAAGCAGAATTTCCAGGGAGACCACTGTGAGAGCTGTGCTGATGGATTCTATGGTTATCCATTTTGTGTCTGTAAGTATATAAGTAAAATTGCCTCTTTTTCTGTATTTTAAATGTGCATTAAAGAATTAATGGCTTCCATTGCTCTTGACTTGGTTAAAAAAAAATCTGGTATTTCAGCTTCACGTGTTTATGTGTTCTGATAAATCAGTTGTTACAATACTGAAGAGAGCTGGGTTTATTTAACAAAATGATAATGACTTAAAAAACAGTGATTGTGCTGCATTCTCACAATTCTGAAATCGCTTGAGACACCAAGTTTGCAGCCTATCCTCAGTGAGTTGTGAACTCCAGTCCTAAGGCTCTGAGCAAATTGTTTAAACACGTGTCAGGATTTTCAGGGATAAAGACCACCGGCACAGAGAAGTAGAACATGACTGTAATGACAGAGAGGGGAGAAAATGGGTTTTTGTTCTCCTTGAGGCCTCCTAGGATTTGGAACTTGTATCTCTGATAAACAATGCTTTTCCCATTAAAAATGACATACAAAATAACTGGGCAGAAAATGTAGCATCAGGATTCCTGCATAAAAGCTTCCAACTCCAAGAAAAGATTGCAGAAATGCATCAGTGGGATGTTTTGTGCCATCAGGAAAACGATGTGTGTTTCTGACAGCTGATAAAAAACAAGTGTTGATCTGGGACAAGATCTGAGGTCTGACTAGAAGAGAGGTACCACAATAGAAACACAAGAAGAAGGTAAACTATACAAAACAATACAAAAAGGAAAAAAAAATCCTGTGAAAATTGAATGCTGTTTGAATTCAATGGCTGTGATATAATACTGTCTCTACACTGCATTCTAGATTATCACGTCTCATACATCTTCTTGGTTGAAATCTGACATTTTTAAATTAATTCAGCTCAGATATACATTGATCTACGTCCCACTGATGTTTGTAGCTCATTGACTTCTCGATGCAAGGATATTTAAGAATGGGAAAGATAATCCAGCAATCTGGAGGACTCTCAAATAAAAGTTCCTAAGATGTACATGTCATAAATTATAGCAGTTCATGTAGCATGAGGTAATGCCATATGAAGAAGAGATGGAAGCAGAAAATGTGAAATAAATATGGAGATCCTTAGATAACTCTCACAACACTAAGTCTAAGAAAGATTTCCAAACAAAAGGATAAGGAGCAGGAAAGCAGCCTGCCTTTAGTGGCATTTCCAAATGGTGTCTGGCCTTTCATACTGCTGTTTTGAGAAGGGAACTTGGTATCTGAATTGGGAATCACAAGTGCAATGTTTCTTACCTCTTTCCTAAGGAAACTAAGCTGAAGTTTGTTACTAGAGTCATATGAATACAATGCTCTCTGTATTGACGGTAGATGACTTCATTGTTTGTCATAATTTTTAATGAAATTAATGTGTTTATTTCAAATGCTCCTCGTTGTTTCTTTTGTTTTAAAGATGCTCCTGTATATCCTTCTACTTCTTCAGTTCCAGGAGATGCTGTGGCTGGTGACATAATAGGCAAGTTCTTGGTGGTTTTTCTCCATTTCACTGTTTTTTCCTATGTTACTATTTTTCACTGTTTCAGTGGTGCCTGCTCTTTTGTAGAATCAATCATGGAATCATTAAGTTGATTTTTAGGTAGTAATTTTGCCTCTGTTGGTATTTATCTTTCAAGACTACCTTTGTTCTTGCCAGAAGTTTATCATATTGTCATGTTTATACCAAACAGTTTACTGGGCTAGCTCCAGAAAGAGTTATGGATCAAAATAACTTTGGCCAGCCTCCGGCAGACATCTGCAGGAGGGGCTGACCATCTTGTTTGGTGCACTTAAGAACAGATCCATCAAGACTTTCTGACATGTACAACTTTCTGACACGACAACCACTGCTTTAAATCTCTTTCTTGAGGCTAACTGGCATCTGCCTCTGGACTGTCCTCTCTCACCTGGCAAATTGTACATTGCCCTTGGCAGTGAAGGACTTTGATTTTTCTTAGAAAGCTTCATATTTCTTGTTTAGCCCACTGCAAAACTGCCTGAAGTCCATACAATGATTCCCTTGGTGGGCTTATGTTTTTTAGCCTATATTATCATACTGCACAATGGAGGCATCATCACAACTAGCACTTAATCACTTGCATACTTATAATGGACTTCACCTTCATACAGCATCCAAAATAATGGCCCTGGTAGGCCTCTGGGTATGCTCTGTTGCATATACCCTTCTCTCAAAAATTTTTAAAAGGAAGAAGAAAAAACTCCAAAGGAAAGTGAATAAATATAACAGGAGAAAACAGATCTTGAGCTCTTTACACTTTCAACTAGTAGCATCTAAATTTGAAGGCATAAGAAAGGCAGCTGCCTCTAAGTGGAAGTTTCAGTAGAAGTTATAAATTTGGGCTGTCAGACTAAGCACAATTACATATTGTGGGTTTTTTTGAATGAGATTTTGCATGTAGGGCTCTTTGTTCAAGATTAATATTTACTAAGTACTGATCTATTTTTCTCTGAAAAAACCCAAGGAATTCTGGGCTCATATGCACTAACTTTGTTTTTTTCCTTTTCCATTCCTGCTTTATATAGAAGTAGGCTGCAAACCAGGGTATTTTGGCCCCCAGTGTCTGTGTAATTGATGTAGTTTCTTTGACACTTGGAGCCCATGCTCCAGGATAAGTGCCAACCTTTGGCTTCCAAGGGAAATAAGAACTTTATGATCATAATACTGCAAATGTTTTCTTTACAAACGTGCTCTCCAGCGTGCCAGTGCCATGGTGCAGGAGTGCTGGGCAGTGACTGTGACAGAAGTACCGGGCAGTGCAGATGTCGAACTGGATTTGGAGGTTTTTCCTGCGATACCTGTGCAGCCGGCTATTTTCAGTACCCCTTCTGCCACAGTAAGCCAAACATTCCCTTTCAGCAAGAATATCTAAAACACCAAAACCTCAAGTTTTCTACTGAAGGATGAAGTTATTTTGCCATGGAGATGTGTTCACAACAGGCTCTCCCAAAACTCACACAAATCAAAGAAGAATAATGTGATGAGGGGAGATTTTTATCTAAAAATATCTAAAAATGTCCATGTTTCATTGGTTGCTGTCTGCTGTTCAATGCAGCTGCCAGACTCTAATTTGTGTTTGGATTTAGTAACATGGATTAAACTTAGAATAACTTTGGAAATATTTCGGTTACTTATTCTTGGGTTTGTTTTTTTTTTTAAATTGCGTTTAATATGAGTTTGCAACCTCACTTTGATGCACCAAGCTACCCTAGCTAATGAATACTATAAAACTGACTAGTTTGGAACTTTAACAGCTGTCTCTGTGCTATTTTTTTAGACAATTTATTGACCACTTCCACCTGAGATTGTAAACCTAAACCATAAATTGTTTTGCTTCAGTCCCAGAAGTTATGAAACTACTTTCAATGGTTGGCAAACCACTTGGGATTGAAAAATCAGACTCTCAGTGGGGCCAGGCCAAGTGTAGTGCTTTGACACTGATAATGGGACTTTGATCCAGTTTCATTGCTCTTTCATTAATGTTTTCCTTGTTCCTGAATTGCTACGGATGTGAGCAGACCATAAAATCTGTTATAAATCCATATAAGTCTGATGGGAAAACTACCATCCTGTTGAGCATCAGGGAGCAGGGAATTGCTTTTACTGCTCTTTTTTTCAAATGTATTTTTATTTCAAGAAAGATAAAAGAAGAGAGCCTGTACAGAAGCTGCCTCTGAAATACCTTTTCTCTTTGGCAGTGTGTGAATGTAACTTGCTGGGTACCCAGCCTGAAGTCTGTGATTTTCTTGGGAGGTGTCTTTGTCGCTCAGGGGTCACTGGACTTCAGTGTGACAGCTGCCAGCCTGGCCACCACTCCTTCCCTGCCTGTCAAGGTAAGGCTGCTGATTGAGTGTACAGCATCAAACAGGCCCCTGAAAAGGCAGACAGCAGTGCTTTCCAGGAGAGCAGCCAAAGCAATGCTCACAGCAGCAAATGGGCAATTCCCTCTTGTGCTCTGTGGTGAAATCCTCATGTGTCTCAGTTCTCCAATTTCAGGCCTTATTTTTCCCTCATCAGACTGATGTGCCCTCAGTCAGCACAGCTGTCTTACTATTAACCACAGCATTTGAGAGCTGTTCTCACATGGAGGCCCCCAGCAACAGGGCATGCTTGACTGCTGAGGATCCAGCATAGCAGAACTGTGGCACTGGTCTGCTTTTGCAGAGAGTCTTTGGTACCTTGTAAAAAGTGTGTTCTGTAAGTCTGAAAATCTCAAGCTCTGATTTTGCCCTTCATGTTGGTTTCTCACTTGTTTTGAGATAATCTGACAGGAACTAACCCAACCTGTGTCCATGTAGACATGAAACATGAAAGATCTCTATGGAGCTTCCCACCGAGGACTGGCCTGCTTTTTTACAAGACAAGGAGTATAATGGAGTATAACTTTTGAGTGTCATAGTGGTCTTGTGTGTGTCTGAGGACTCCGATCAGGTTCTACGTGGGCCTAGGTTTTGTCTGCCTTTAAAGTGAATGAGAGAGGGGGCCCTTAATCCTTAGTGATTTTTCCATTGAAAAAGAATATAGAATATTGCAGAGTTCTGGTGTGTGTGCTTTCCTGTACCAATTAACAAGATTTATGTATAATATTATGATTTGCTTTCTTGTCTCTAGTTGTTTCTGGCTGTTGGTTACGTCAGGCTTCTTCCTTTGGGCTTATTGGACAGTTGTTTGTCTCCTATAAAGGGACAGCAGAATTCTTTATGACTTCATGCCCTGGTTTCAGCTGGGGTAGAGTTAATTTTATTCCTAGTACTGTGTGCAGTGCTGTGTTTTACCTTTTTTCCAAGTTCTTCTCCCCATCCCATGGATGAAGTGTGAGTGGCTGTGTGTACCTATTTGCCAGCTGGGGTTAAACTGTGGCACCTTGCAAAGATAGACTGTGTTGTGTTACCAAACACAATGAGTGGAATAAACATACACCACATGATTGTGGGTTTTATGGTCTGGAGTAGATGAACATTTTTAATGAAAAACATAAAATTAGGATTCTGCATTGGTACACACTGTTCAGTGGTTTTAAAATAAACTTCTTTTTTCCCTAGAGCAAAATCAAGTAGCAATCTTAAAGCAAATCAAACCCGTATTGAATATGTTTGATCTTTGAACACCAAAAGCTGAAAAGAGACAGAAAAGCTTAAAAGAGCATGCAAAAACAAATTGTAAAAGATGGATAAAAATAGTTGAAAACACAGTCAGTGGGATTACTCAGAACTGCTGCAGTTCACAGTTTGTTCGGTTAAAATGAGCTGCCATGGGTTTAAACATAAATTAACACAGCATGCTGCAGAGCTGTGGGGGAAAGTGAGCAACCCAGCCTGCTACTCCTGTAAGGAATTGTCATCTTCAAAAGAGAGACAGATCTATCTTTTTTGGGCTTCTGTGACTAGAACTAATCTCTCTGGACTTGACTTGTTGAACTCAATAGAAGCTTTATTAAAATAAAGTGATATCTAAACAAAGCCTTTAAACAAAACACTAATACTAAAATTTGGAGCGAATGCAATATAATGGTCAAATGACGGGGGCCTCTAGTGTAGGTGTTGTTCTTGGAAGCTTCAGTGTTTGTATTTCTCTTACACTAACTTCCTAGCAAGCCCTGTGTCTTTCCAAGCATCTTTAAAGTAAACACAGCAAAGTCAAATGTCTTTGACTGCAGCAGAAAGAGGAACCAAAAGAGGGAACCAGAAACATGAGCGTGTAACAAGAAGACAGTGTTTGTTTTGTATTTCTGTCAGTCAGCCATTTCTGCCAGTCATAACATCCAAGTGGTTAACTACAGCACTTCATCTGGTACCTGGGACAGCTGCCCATTCCTGTACCTGAGAAGTGTGACCCTGTGGAACATTCCAGCATCATCTCAAGAAAATAGCAGGTCTTGGCTTTAGCTGTTAGCCCAAAATAGTGGTAACTCCATGAGAAGTTCACTGTTATAGTTGACAACGTGCTTTGAGTACATTTTTAAAAGGCTTTTTAAAGTATTTCTCTCATATGAGATTCTTTCCAAATGTAAGATGGATTTATGTCCCTTACATGTGTTTTGCAAAGCATCAAATTGAATCTCTTAGCTGTGTGTTACAGAACTGCAAGAATCAAGTTTACCTGTGGTTGAGGAGAATTGCAGAATAACCTCTGTTTTGGGATGTTTATTTTTGGTGGTAAAATTATGCTTTGTTGTTTGGTTTTCTGAACGTCAATGATTGATTTACATTCAAAGGCAATTTTTTGGGGCAGATTCTAGGTTTAGATATGTATGTGTTTTGTTTCTTTTCCCCTGTGCAGAATGCAGTTGTGATGGTGTTGGCTCATTGGGGAATACCTGTGGTCCTGGAGGGCAGTGTCTGTGCCGTAGTAACTATGCTGGGCTGAGATGTGACCGCTGTGCTCCAGGATATTACAGCTATCCCAGCTGCTTGCGTGAGTAAAAGCCTTCCCTACTTTTACCGGGGTTTTCCTTCCTGTTTCTGCAACACGGAAGAAAATAAATCTTCTCAAATATAATATTTTCCATTTAAAAGATTTCCATTTTGATGGCACAGGAACTTTAAGAGTATCTCTCAGTTCCATAGGTTAGTGTTCTATTTTTCCAAGTGACTGCTTTGCATACAAACCCAAATACTATAAATCAGGCTAAATGCACATTTTAAAAATTATTATTAAAGGCTTTTGCTGTCTTGGAGTTTAAAGTATTTGAGCCTCTCCAAGATAACCATATTAAAAAGCCCTTTCAAGCTCACACCTGCTACACTGTGCGTCTGCACTGCTACATTCCACAGCTCTGTTTTCAAAAGATCTTTCAATGTGTTTGTTTTATAAAGGTATCAGCAGCTTGTGTGACCCTGCAGGTAGCGTTGGTTCTCACTCTGTAAGTATTCTGCCACTGCAGCTAACAGTGCATGTTAATCATTCATGTGCCTTTGCTGAACACATCCAGCTCATTGCTCAAGCCCTGAAGCCTGCTCTTAGACTCTAAAAGAATTGCACGAGCTTGTTTGAAGAGTAGGAGTGGAAATGAGCTTTGTGTTTTGTTCTTTGATCATACCAGTGCAAAACTTTGTCCAGAGTGGGGGGTTTTTATCTTTTATATATAGAATATGCATACTATTTATGTCTTTTTGGTATGCTCTTAACACTAACATATACATGAGCCTGTGCATGTCTCAAAGACCTTCTGGGTCTGGCTTTCACCATCAAACTGTTCTTGAAAAATTATTACATCTTTGTTGCCGTTCCACTATTATTGTTATTAATACGATGATGATTATTAGTAGTTGCATGTTGCCAGAAATTACAGGCACTGTTAAATGTGTAGCAAAGACCACCTAGAGGGTAAGTCTGATGGATGGTAGGGGTACCTCTGTAGGCTTCTTTACAGAGCTATGTGTGTCTTCCACCAATGAAGAAAATATCAAATCTGACAATGAATTAGTATTTTTAAGGAAATATGGGGTTTATTCTTTGTACAAACCAGTTCATACTTTAAAGCAGTTCTAGTAAGACTATAAAAGAATCTATCTAGAATAAATTAGATAGATAAAAAATATGCAGGGTGGAACAATCGTGTGCTGACAGTATGAGACAGAAAAATCTATGATGTCTGAATCAACCTGAGATCTATGTATCTGTAAAAGTCAGTAAACTGCATGAGCTCATAACAATGTTAGATTTTTCTTAGTAGTGAAGAGCAGTAAATTTTTTATGAAGCAGATGAACCCACATTAGCTCCTTTCTGTTGTTAGGGATATTGTCAATGTCTCCAGCATGTTGAGGGTCCTACCTGCAGTAAATGCAAACCCTTGTACTGGAACCTGGCCAAAGAAAACCCCCAGGGATGTACAGGTATGGCTTCATGGCATTTCTCTCTGGCTTATGAAATGTAGTCATCTTTAATCTCTGACACTGTCTGTGGTGCTTTTTATGACTTTCATAACTCTTGTTAACAGCATGTTTCTCATAATTTCACCAAGCTACCCATGAGACCAGCAGTTACTTTCAGAAACCAGGCCCTAATTTCGTGGATGTTTGCCTAGTGCTGATCCAGGGTGTGCTCTGAAGTTACAATGATGTTCACTTCATATGGCCCTATGGAGCCAGAGGGGATTTTTACCTGTAACCCTGAAATCAGAATTTGGCTCATTGTTTTGAGAAAAAAAAGTGCTTTTTCACTTTATATTATTTCCTAGCTTGGAGTACAAAGCCTTTGTGCGGCCTCAGGGTGTGACAAATCTGTTATGGTCTATATCTGTATAATAACCTGTGATTGTCAATGTTTTCCAACAGGGAGTGTGTGTTTTTCAAGCAGATAATAATAATTAATGAAGATTAAAAAGGGTAAAGACAAAAAAAATCTTTAAAGGTTCTCTCCAGCTGTTTCCTTTGGAACAGATTCCATCACGACAGCCACTTAGGACAAGTAGCTTTAGACCTGATAATGGTATCATTACATTTTTTACTTTAGATTTCTAAATACTAAAAACTCCTCAAATATTAAGTACTGCACTTTCCATGTAATTCTCTACTTTCAGTCACAGAGTCAATATTGGGTTTCTCCGGACTTCAGGGTGAGCACAGCTCCTTCCTGCAATATTTCTCCATTTCCATTTCATATAGAGAGTTCATTTGGTCCCAGAGTGGCACTGCAGAATAGAGGGTGCCAGTCAGGCTGGAAGACACTGTTCTGTGTCAATTGTCTGAATGTTTCTAAGAAAGAAAACAATTGTAAACTCAAACTCAATACTGTTTTTATCAAACACAAACCACTTTAAAACACATCAGTAAATTACACATACTTAGAAGTCCTCATTCTTTCTCCTCCTCTTTTTCTTCTCACCTCATACCAGTACCTTGTCTGCTATTCTCAACCAACCTTCCAGAATTAAATCCACCTGGTGGCACATTGACTCAAAATTGCAGATTCAGGGTGGTGGGGTTTTTCCCTGTAAAGTATCACAAAAAGATGAAATGAAGATGTCTTTTTTTTTATCTGTTCAGCATGCCAGTGTGATGTGAGAGGAACACTAAGTGGAGTTGGAGAATGTCAGCAGGTAAAGTGAAATTAAAAGAAAGATATTAATTAAATTGATTACTGTAACGATAAATTATTCTAATATTTGCCAAGGTAGAAATCTTAGTGCTGTTTATTGCTTTTGAACATAAAATAGGTAGTTTTATACATCAAGATATCAATTTTACACATCCTAGGGATATATAAAGTTTTATAATTTTTTTTCTTCTTGAGTTTATGTATTTTCTAGTCTGTTTCTGAAGATGATAAATGACAGAAATAATGCAAAGATAATGTTTTTGGAGGGTTGTTTTGTTTTGGGGTGGGGTTTTTTTTGTTTGTTTGGGGTTTTTTTATTTTTGTTTTTTGGGGTTTTTTTTTGTTTTTTTTTTTTTTGTTTTTTGTTTGTTTTGTTTTGTTTTTTTGGGGTTTTTTTGAGATTAGAAAGTTTTTCCTCTTTAGAATTAGAGGAAATTCAGAGTACTGAGAGATTAAAGTTCAGGAAAAGTACTGAAACATTTTTGATGGCATTTATTTGCTTTGCAGGAAAATGGGCATTGCTACTGCAAATCTAATGTTTGTGGAGATTCCTGTGGCACCTGTGAAGCTGGTTATTATGCTCTTGAAAACAAGAATTATTTTGGCTGCCAAGGTAAAATGAGTAAAGGATATCTCTAGTGGAACATTTGCACTTAGCACAGAAGTCTTTAGAATTCCCTAGGCTGTACTTTTAGAATGGGGGTGTTTGAATTACTCATGTGCACAGCATTTTGCACTGGTGCTGGTGCTGTAACCTTGCTTGTGACTCCTCTTTTGCCTTTCAGCAGGAGAAGGAACAAGGCAGATGTTACCACTGTGCTTCCCACTCATTTTGTGCATGTCTTAGAAAACAAGGTGCTTTTAGACTACGATATAAATCTTGTTTAGGAACACTCAGCCTTTCAATCCAGGTTGAAATTTTTTGACGTATTTGTTCCTTAGTTCAGCATATTATACCTCATTACTAGAGGCGTCCTTTAGTTTGTGCCACAAGTCCTGTCCCCTGTAAAAAGTAATTCAGTATTGTCCAGTGTCAGTTGAAAATGTGTATATTATATGAACACATACGTGGCAATTTTGTCAGGGATATTAAATATTGGGGTACCAGACTTTGAAAAGTTAACATCTTGCACTTTTTGTAAGTTAGGTTTTAGATTTTGTTGTTTATGGGTTTTTAAAAATAATTATTTTTTGTGATATTGCTGCAGAAATTCTGACTTGCTAGGAAAACATTTGAATAGCAGTTCTGCAAAACTGCAGCCTGGCATTTAGCAATGTGGCAGGATGCATTATTTGAGGTGTTTTTTTGAAAGTGACTTTTGTCACATTCTAAGGAGAAATTAGAAAGAAAACAGGCAGAAACACAGGAAGCTCAAAAAAATTGCAGCTTATGCACGTGTATTAAGTTGCTTTTGAAGGAGTCTAGAGGGAGGAGGAAATTAATGGTGTTTAATTAGGTGAAGCCATGGTGTGTTTTCTGATAACTTTTATCGCTCTTTTTCTGACTGGGTTCTGCTCCTGGCCTGCCAGGCTGTGGCTGTGATGTTGGAGGGTCCCTCAGCCCAGCCTGCTCCCAGTCCTCGGGCAGCTGCCAGTGCCGGGCACACATCGTGGGCACGACCTGTCGGGAGTGAGTCCAGCTCCAGCACCCTTCCCTTCCCTTCCCTTCCCTTCCCTTCCCTTCCCTTCCCTTCCCT